GAGGGAAGAAAGGAGGGAGGAGGAGAATGGGAGAGAGAGCAAAAGAGGGTAAGCTGAGGTTTGAAGTAGGAGAGAAACTCCCTTTTTTTCACTGCATACCTTTTTGAACTATGATACCCGCCCCCCCTGCAAATGTATCACTTCTTAAAACAAACATAAAATGACCCATTGATCCATTTTAGGGATCTGTCCAATAGGAACACTGGAAGTGCCAAAAGATACGTGTACAAAGTTGTCCATTAAGCCTTTGTTGTTATATATAAATGAAATTATTTAATGAAAACAAAAATTGGAAAACATTGTTTATATTTAATATATTTTTTAAAATATTGAATAGCTTGAAATACACACTCTCTCCTCCCTGCCACCCCATACCCTCTCTCAGAAAACTCTGAAAGCACACAGACTGTTGACAATGCCTCTGGGTATGGTTCTAAAGGGGGAAGTCGGAGAGACAGACAAAGAAGGGGGAGGTTTGTGTAATGAATTACTTTCTAAGTTTCTGAATGGCAGAAAATTTTTTGGTAATGAGTGTACATTTTCTTTTAAATTAAAAATTCTCAATAAAGATTTTTATTTATTTATTTATTTTTAAATTGAGCCATAGTTGACATGTAACTCAACGAAGGTGTTTAAAAATGTAAGCAAATTATTGGTTTTGGTTTGCAGGGTTGCCATAACAGACAGGAGAATGTGCTGGTTTTGCAACAGACTTAAGATGCTACTCACCCTTTTCCGTGCTTCAGACTTCTGGAAGCACTCGTGCTGTATGAAGGTGGCTGCCATGGAAATCCTGGCAGGTGGTGTGTGGTCTGCATCAAGCATACTCACTGCCCGCTCCAGAGTCATCTCCATGTCTGCATTCCTAGACAGACAGTCACAGATTCAGCAAAATTGAGGCCCACTCCCTCCTGCCTACCAACCTGAGCCTCCAGAGATGACTTGGCTAATATTGGGAAGCACCTAGAACATCTGAGTCTTCGCTCTTCTTCAGCCAAGAGAAAAATCAGTACAGTAAAAACCCTGATACAACGGACTGATTTGGGCGAGGGGGGTGTCTGTTAAAGCTGGAAGTCCATTATATAACAAGACAGGTTTTCTAAGTGCGTAAGTTAAAAAATTGACAAATCAGTTAGTTTATCTGTCTTCACTTATGTAGACACGTTTGTGTAATTATAATTAAGTATATATGAAAAGTTTAATTTCACAGAAAAGTTTTCTATATGTATTACTGTAATTTTAAATTTACACTGAATAGGTCTAGTAAATGTGTGTATTCACCAGTCACATGGAGAAAACAAATGCACATGGCTGTGAATTTTATACACATTCTGTTTTCGTTTGCTTTGCTATTGTAATGACACTGAGATTATGTAGAGCTAGTAGCATATTTTTGTTCTTTACTAATTGTAGGTATTTATAGTGGTGATAAAATCTGAGGCAGTTTGACACAGAGAGGATAATTTATAGAGGATAATTAAAATTGCTTCCTGTAAAAAACTAAACAATAATTCCCAAATGCCTCATAGTACTATATTGTTTTCTCCCCTTTTATTTCTGCCCGGAGGCGAGTATATTAAGTAGTCTATTTCAATGCCCTTCCTTAAGCATTGAGTCAGAGAAACTACTCAGGACGCTAACATCTTAGAACTGCTAACATCTTAGAATTGCTAACATCTTAGAACTGCGGCCACACATATGCCTTGAAGCTAACTTAGGACCTTGCTTCGGCTTCAAAGAAGGTTACTCCTGATTCATTCCAGGTTATAAACTTCGTGGGAGGGTGTTTTCCAGTACCTGCTAGGAAGCATAGTGAGTAAATTCTCTTGTATCAGGCTAACCCACAATATATGCACATATGTTCAGATGTGAATATGTGTTGTGCTGTGAATGGTGTGTTTGGGTATGGGTGGATGTGGCACAGGTGAGGGGATAAATGAACCTCATGACTCAAAACTAATACCCACTCCTTCTGAAACACATGTTCAAACACAGAAGCGTTACCTCATGAGTGTAAGAGTATTAAAAATGGGGCAGAAATAGTTCTGGCATCCATACTGAGAATTATATAATGATCTCATATTTTAAAATGTTGTGCCTCGGGAGTCAATTTAATTGGTAAAAAATGCAAGCTACTACTATTAAAACCAGAATTTGAGTCATTTTGAAAAAATATAAACACACCTTTTAAAAGAGATGGAATATTTTACATGCATAGACTCCACTGCCTTTACAGAGAAATCAAAACTCTACCAGTCTCAATTTCAATGGTAATTTTAAGTCTTTACAGGTGTTCTAACTGATGAAAGGTCACTCATAGCATAGAAATAGCCTTCTGTTTAATGCAGGGTTTTTTGTGTTTTTTTTTTTAAAGATTCAGCCATTAATCCACTTTGTAAGTCATAAATGACTCAGGAGAGTCTGATTTTCCCAAAATAATTCCATTACTCAAATCCTTTATTTTCCTGAACATGATTCACACAGAAGCTCTGCATTCACTCCTAGCCAATCCAGTGTCACTGTACTTTATCATTAAAAATAGTTCCCAAACTGAATGAAGACTTCCTCAATAGGTTTGCTACAGTTGTCAGGGGTTCAATTTTCTGTTTTGTTACCATCTGTGATGCCCAACTCTGAAACACGGCTTATGTTTTGACCACAGTCTGGCTCTAAATCCTGCCATCCTTAAGCCTCCCTCTTCCCCCACCTCTGCTGGACCAGCCCATCCTCCAATCACATGACTTTTAATCCTTTTAACACTGAAGGCATCTTCAAGAGTCAGTCTCTGATTTTTCTAGAAAGCCACTCCTTCTACCTAATTATTATTTATTCTTCAACACTCAATTCAAATATCCTCACTTCTGTGAAATCTTCCTTGTGCACCTATCCCCAGCTAGAGCTTTTCCTTTCCTTCTCTGTTCTCCTATAGGATTCCTCCCCTCCCATCCCCTTCCTTCTCTTTTTCCCTCCTTCCTTCCTTCCTTCCTTCCTTCCTTCCTTCCTTCCTTCCTTCCTTCC